CTCGGCACACAGCAATGTCAAGTTTTGCTCTTTGGAATCTTCTGGACATTCTTTTTTTTTTTCCAAATTCTTTGGACCCACAATTGGTTGCATCCACAAATGCCGAAGGCTGAAGGTATAGATGTACTCGTTCAACACAGTAGGGATTTGAGTGAAAGGATAAACACATTCATACAAAACAGCGTTTATGATTGGTTTTTCTCTCTGTGGTCAAGTCACGTCACAACTGATTACAAGAACTGTTTTTTGTTTGTGATTTTCACGGGGTCTCGAGTGAAAAAACAAGATGGTGCAATATGATAATAATATACAGACCTAGTGTAGTACTGAGTTGATTTTTTTAAGTGTATCTCTTCTACAAGTGGAAGAGACATACAGAGAGAGAGACAGATTTTTTTATTTGAGAGAGAGATTTTGTGTGCTCGCCAGGGACACAGAGAGAAACAGAAAGTGAGAAAATCATTCCCTCACCCCCCACAGGGGGAATGGCCATATCACAATCCCTTCTCCTCCATTCTCTTAGAATTTTGGACATGCACGCACATATTCCTGATATGAGTTTCAAGCTGCTAGGTCCAGGACTTGAACCATGGTCAGCTGCGTGGGAGGTCCAGTGCCTTAACCACCATGCCACCTGCTGGACCTGAGAGAGAGAAAGACAGAAGAACAGCACCTCCAAGAATGCCAAGTAGATGCCACAGTCTACCCGCCAGCTCCAGCTAGCCTGGATGATGGGTTAACGAGCCTGACGCACTCAGGGAGGTGTGCAGACAAAAACACAAGCCTTCCCGCCACAGCCTCAAGAGCATCACGGTTTACCGCTGTGCTACTGCCCAGTCTGTAGATGGACATTTACAAAATGTAGTCCTTTGAGGGTGGTGGGTAAGGCACTGGACTCCCACATGGCTGACCATAGTTCAAATCCCAGATCTGGCAGCTTGAAACACACCAGGCACAAATGTGTGTATGTGTACCCAAAATCCCAAGAGGAGGATGGAGAAGGGACTGCAGGGTGGCCATCTCCCCTGACGGGTGATTTCTCACTTTCCTGCTCTCTGTCTCTCTGGCAAATGAGTACTCCCTATGGCAAAAAAAAAAAAAAAAAAACTTAAAAAAAGAATTAGTCCTTTGAAAGATGATTTTCTGGGGCCAGCAGGTTGTATAGTGGTTAAGGCACTGGACTCCCACATGACTGACAGCAGATCAATTCCTGGACCCAGGTACTTGAAAATCACACTGGGCATGTGTGTGTGTGCCCAAAATCCCAAGAGGAGAGTGGAAGAGACAGGATTGCAGCGTGGCCGTTCCCCCCGGGAGGTGGTGGGGTGATTTCTCACTTTCCCTTTCACTGACTCTGAGTCTCCCTGAGCATATGTGCCCTATGGCAATAATTAATTAATTAATTAATTATTTTTAAAAACTTAAAAAAATAATAAGTTGAAAGATTATTTTCCCCATTCATTTTTATACTTCATCATAGATTTCTCGTTTTAACTTTACACCTGCTTTTTGAAATGTGTACATTTTTGGAATGAGATGGCTTTAAATAAATAAAATAAAGCTGGATGCTTTTCTTCCTCATAATAAGTTCATAATTTAATCATTCTTCCCTGGGACAGAGTTTTATTCACATAAAAACATTGGTATGTATTTAGGTCACTCTTGTTTACAGTAGAGACATGATTACTGCTTTAAAGCTTAGCCATACATTGAATTTAAATTAGCTGAATATTTTTAAAGCTATTTTCATAGCCAATTAGTTGTAGTAAGTTTTCTTTTTTTTTTCTCAAGGCCATTATTTAATGTTATTTGGTTGCAACAGAGACATGAAATTGAATTCTAATAATAATAAGTAATTTAGAGGCCGATTGTTTGATCTGAATCGTCGCTATGGGAACTGAACGAACATGTATAGCAAAATTCAGTCTCCAGTTTAAATAAACCCCTCAGTAATTTCATTTGCTTAAATACTATTCCCAAGGGGAAAAGGACACAATGCCAGCAAGTGTTTGGTAGTACGATGATTTGTATTGAAAAAGGGATTTGAAATATTAGAGAGCCATATGCTTCACCAGCGAGTTCGTCCAGTAAACAGTGCATGCACTAGGGATTTATCCCATCCTACATAAAAACAAGTAAGAAAGCAGTTCCTTCTTCTTCTTTTTTAAATGATTTATTTCATTTTATTTATTCATTTTTTTAATTATAATTTGACCAGAGAGAAAGTGAGAAAGCAAGCCACCAGGTCCGGGACTCGAACTTTGGTCGGCCATGTGGGAGTTTCCAGCACCTTAACCACCACGCCACCTACTGGTCCCCAAGCAGTTCCTTAAGACCCTGAAGTCTGGGAACTTTTGTTCTGACTGCTACTACTCACTTCCTGGAGTTAGTTATTTAGCCTCTAAAAGAAAGTTTCAGACTGGTTATTTAATCTCATTAATTAAAATGTTAAATTTAGGGGATCAGCAGATGGCATAGTGATTAAGAGGCTGGACTTCCACATGGTAGACTGACCTTCAGGTCCCAGACCCAGCGGCTTGAAAATCATGCCAGGCACGTGTGTGTGTGTGTGTGTGTGTGCCCAAAATCTTAGGAGAAGAGTGGAGAAGGGATTGTGGTGTGGCCACCCCTCCTCCTCCCAGGAGGATGATTTCTCACTTTCCGTCTCTCTGTCTCTCTCTCTGGAGAGCTCACATGCCCTGTGGCAAAAACTTAAAAGGAAAAACTTTAAATTTAGTTTTTCAATCTTAGAAAATTATGAAAATATTGAATTCTATTAAAATGACTGCTTCAAAACCAAATTCGCACTTTTAAAAAGCATTTTGTGTTAAACCTTGAGTTTAGTAGTAATTCATAAGTTGCTGAAAAACTCCATTTTTATTTAAATATAAAATAACTAATTTATATACTTTGTCAATTTATATAATTATAATTATTAAGTTATATACTTATAATTAAATATAAATTATACTAGAATGGAGCGAGCATTGTTTTGAAATAGATGTATCAGCAAATAATTAATCAAGTAAATTATATAATTCTTTTTTCACTGAGGAAATGCAATTAAGAACATTTGAAAATATGGCAATAGTTGCACCAGTATTTTATAAATGTGCTGATTCTGCTATACATTATACCTTTTAGCAATTAGAAATGTATACTGTTTCAATTTCTTCAGAATGTCACCTAACATTACATATGACTATCTTTCCATGTAGCTCTGAATCTTTGTCCTTGAAAGTTTTAAAAAAGAAATATTTATTAAATGTTATTCATTATTATTTTTTAACCTGAACAGAGAGAGTCATGGAGAGAGAGAAAGAGAGAGAGAGAAAGTAAGAAAGCAAGTCGTCGGGTCTGGGACTCAAACTGTGGCCGGCCATGTGGGAGTCCAGTGCTTCCACCACCATGCTACCTGCTGGCCGCATCCTTGAAATTTTTAATGCCTGTTTACTAATTGATTTAGCCACAACCCCTTATAGATGGACAGTTAGGCTAGCTCCCATTTTTCAGTATTATAAATGATGACGTAAAGAGCATTGTTAGGTATTCAGCTTTGTTTTCCATTTGCAAACTGTTCTATTCAAGGATTAAACTGCGAGAGAGCGGAATAATAGCACTTACTGGATACCACATCATTGTATAATATCAGCACAGAGCTGGCTACAACGAAGCCATGTCAGCCTTGAGATCTTACTAAAATATATTTCTGAAAATGATTATCAGTCATTTAAAATAGACTCATTTGGGTGTCTTTAATCATCATTAATCATGATGAATTGAAGCAATTGAATTTAGTTCATTATTCATGAATGGTTTTCCTCGTAGGAATTTCTGCTGAGAGGAATGTCAACTCAAGATGTATTTTAGCTCAGTTCCACCCTTAGGTTTCCACAGTTATGTAGAAAATATAATTCTTATTTTAATAGAGGAGATAGTTGTTGATCGTCCTTATCTCTAGCTCTAATATCGACAGCCTTAGCTCTTTTACTAAACTGCATGCTGAGACAGTGATCGGGTATAAAACACAATAAGGACGACACAAGGGACACTGTCTAGCATTTGCGTTTGTATTAGAACTATGTAGACTGTCCGTTAAGATTTGTAATCTCTCAAATCAGAGGGGAAGTTTTCCTTCTCTCTAGATTATTTAGCATCGTAGCCTGCGAAGTTCACCTCACGCCTGAGTTTTATCTCCCATTCCAAGTTATGGAAGGATCGATGACCCAGATGGGATCCTCTTCAGTCCAAGGTTCTGGGCGAGGCCTTTCTAGCTCAATACTTTCTCTTTGGTTCTTTTTCGTATGAGACCAAAAGAACTTTGCATATAAATTAGAAGAAATTAACATGTTCACAAAAGGCCTAAAATCCTGGGTGGTCTTATAAATAAATAACACCAAAAAAAAAAAAAAAAAAAAAAACGGGTCTTCATGTAAAGTCAATTTGGTTCTACGATAATCCTAAGGACAGATATAAGGGGACTTCAAAAACTTAATGGAAAGTGGAATTAAATAATGAGTTTATTTTGGTACAAACCAAAACAATTGACATCCATGCATAGTTTGCTTTTTTTTTTTTTTTCATAATATACATTTTCCATGAACTTCTGAAGACCCCATGTGCGCACGCGCTCTTCCTGGGCAGAATCTGGGAAGACTTGTGTGATCTGGAATGGTCCTGGGAAGTCTAGCCAGACTTTCTGAATGAGAGAGACAACCTCAGACTCACCCATGCACTTGACTGCACTGTTAGCCAAATTCTTCGGCAGTCACAAAACTAACTTTTTTTTTTTGAGAGATTTTTCCTATAGAGTGCATGCACTTGCCAGAAAGACAGAGACAGACAGAGAGACAGAAAGCGAGAAATCACCCCCCAGAGAGAATGACCACACCGCAATCCCTTCTCCTCCATTCTCCTCTCAGGATCTTGGGCACGTACACATACGTGAGTTTAAGCCACCAGGTCCAGGACTCGAACTACAGTCGACTACATGGGAGTTCCACAACATAGCCATTACGCTAACTGCTGGTCCTGCTTTTGATGTTAAAAAATCAAGTATCTCAGTGTCTAGTTCAGTCTTTGATTCTTCCTTCTAAAGACTTGCCTAAAGTATTTCTTTCCTTGACCAAAGCAGTCCATAAATGTGTTAGGTCCATTTAAAAACACTGACAAGTTGGGTCTATCAGGTGGCGTGGTGCTTGAGGCACTGGACTCCCACATGGCCGACCATGGTTTGAGTTTCAGACTGCGCAGCTTGTGTGTGTGCAAGTCCAGAATCCCAGGACAAAATGGGGGAGAAGGGATTACGGGATGGCCATCACCTTGAGGGGGTAATTTCTCACTTGCCCTCTCATTGTCTATTTCCATCTTTCTAGCAAGTGCATGCACCACAGGGTAAAAACCTTTAAAATAGCACAAAACAAAAATCCACTAATGAGGAATACTGTTAGAGGTAGATCTTATGAGCAGGGAGTTCTAATGTGTCAACAAAGGGGCAATCTGATGCATCAGTCACGGTAACAGGGATCCCAGTTAGACCCCCTGGGGCCAAGAGAGAGAGCTTGCCTCACTGAGATCTTGGTCAACATTCTGCCTTCCACTGGGCCAGTAAACTTGGGGCGGAGAGGCTCTATGTGAATACTCATAATTTCAGAGTTCACACTGGACCTATGTAATTGGGTGATCAAATTCCTCAGATTCCTTACCCAAACGGGAAGTTCACACACACAGATGGAAGCTGGCAAATTCAGATAAAAAAGCCAGTTACAGGGAACCAGCAGTTAGCGTAATGGCTATGTCGCTGGACTCCCACATAGTTGACCACAGTTCACGTCCCAGACCCGGTGACTTAAAACTCATGCCGAGCGCGTGTGCATGCGTGCCCAAGATCCCGAGAAGAGAATGGAGGAGAAGGCATTGTGGCGTGACCATCCTCTCTGGGGGGTGATTTCTTGCTTTCTATCTCTCTGTCTCTGTCTATCTGGCCAGCGCACATGCCCTATAGCGAAAACCTTTCCAAAAAAAAAAAAAAAAGCCAGCTACAATGACAGCCTCCCATCCTAAGTATTCATGACAAGACCCCACAATAAAAGTGACACTTACCACCATTCCCGGTATAGCTGTCCTCTGACAGCTGCCATCCATGTGCCTTTCTGGCTTAGGAGTGTACTTCTTTTCTGTTCGAAATCTTTACTTTTCTGGGACCAGCAGGTGGTGTGGTGATTAAGACACTGGACAATCCCACATGGCCGACCGTGGTTCGAGTCCTGGACCTAGTGGCTTGTGTTCTCACTTTCCCTCTCTCTCGCTCTCTCCCCGTGTCTCCCTCTGGTCAAATTAAAATAAACGAATGAATAAATAAAATTAAATACTAGTTCTTTTAAAAAAAGAGAAATCTTTACTTTTCCATTAAAATTTTTCTTTTCCTTCTCTCCATCATTGTTTTTCATTCTGTGTCTTAGGACAGGTCTCTGAACTTTAGAGATCTGGACTCAAAAATACCAAGTATCTTACACAACATAGTTCAGCGCCCCCACCCGATAACAATACAGTGTTTTAGTTCAGCGCCCCCACCCGATAACAATACAGTGTTTTAATTCTACTAATGGTAACATAATTGCAGTTTCATTTTTCCTGCTGTGTTCCTCTCGCAGCAAGTAAGTATATAACAGTTGCTATGAAAGAATTTTTTTTCTTTTAGAATAGATGCATATTTTATTTTATAAGAAAAGGCAAGACATTTTCCCAAAATAGTTGTCCCAGTTTACACTTCGACCAGCAGCAGAAGTATAATGCTTTTCAAGGTTTAAGGTATAAATTGTTTTTGATGCCTAGTACAAAAGACATTTAGTTGGGGTTTTTTTGTTTTTTGTTTTTTGTTTTTTTGAGAGGTTTTTGCTATAGGGCACGTGCGCTTGCCAGACAGACCGAGAGAGACAGAGAGATAGAAAGCAAGAAATCACCCCCCAGGGGGATGGCCACACCGCAATCCCTTCTCCTCCATTCTCCTCTCGGGATCTTGGGCACACACGCACACGTGCCCGGCGTGAGTTTTAAGCCACCAGGTCCGGGACGTGAACTGCAGTCGACTACGTGGGAGTCCAGTGACATAGCCATTACGCTAACTGCTGGTCCCTTAGTTTTTTAAATAAACTGGGAGGGCCAGAAGGTATGATTTCGTTTGTTTGCTGTTTTTTCCCTCTAGGAGCACTTCATGGAAGTAATCAGAAACCAGGAATTTGTGTTATTACCAGCCAGCGAAATCGCGAAGCTCTTGGCCAGTGACGACATGAACATTCCCAACGAGGAGACAATCCTGAATGCCCTTCTCACTTGGGTCCGCCACGATTTGGAGCAAAGACGGAAAGACCTCAGTAAGCTTTTGGCTTATATTAGGCTACCCCTTCTTGCACCACAGGTAATTCATAGATGCCTGTGTATTGGGTCTTTTCTTAGCCTGTTCTTCAAGTAAAGGAATTTTACATACGTTTTCTAGAAATGTATAGGTGAGGGGCCAGCAGGTGGTGTGGTGGCTAAGGCACTGGACTTCTACATGGCTAACCAGAGTTCGAGGCCCAGAGCCAGCGGCTGGAAAAATCACACTAGGCATGTGTGCATGTGTGTTCAAAACCCCAAGAGGAGAATGGAGAAGGGATTGTGGTGTGGCCATCCTCCCAGGGGTGATTTCTCACTTTCCCTTTCCTGTCTCTCTCCAGTGAGCAAACACACACCCTGTGGGAAAAACCTAATCATAATTATTATAGTAATATAATAGCAATAATAATAAACCCAGAGGTGAGAAGATAGTAAGCCAGTAAAACCCTGCTAACGTTTCCAGTCTAGAAGGTCTGGCTACCTATGTTACGTCAGTCAACATTCTTGATCTGGAATTGGTCATTTTATTTGACTCAGCTGTAAACCATCCTACCAATCTGAAGAGAATTAGTAAAGCTGTTAATAAAAGGAACACTGGAGGGCCAGACCGGTAGCATAGTGATTAAGGCGCTGGACTCCCACATGGCTGGCCATGGTTCGAGTCCTGGACCCAGCAGCTTGAAAGTCATGCCAGGTGTATGTTCATGCATGCCCAAAATCCCAAGTGAAGATGGCAGAAAGACTGTAGTGTGGTCATCCCCCCCAGGGGATGACTTCTCACTTTCCTTCTCATTGTCTCTCTGTCTCTCTGGCTAGCGCACATGCCCTATGAAAAGAAATCTTTTTTTTAAAAAAAGGGAATATTAGACTCTAGAATATTTAGGTAAATTCCTTTGCCACATGTTTACTAAGTACCTAGTAAATACTGGATTCTGGTGACACACAGATTAGTAAAATATGATAACGGAGTGCTAGCTTTGCCATTTTAAAGCTCTATGGCTTGGCATTTTTATGTCCCTCAGTTTCTCCATCTGTCAAGTGGAGAAAATGTCCTCTCTATCTCACAGAATTATTATGACAATCAGAAGTGAAGTAAGATGTTGAGGTGCCAGCCGGTAGCGTGGTGCTTAGGGCAGCTGGAGCCCAGATGGCTGATGGCGTGTTCCAGTCCTGGATATGGCAGCTCAAGAGAAACACCAGGCACGTGTGTGTGCATGCTCAAAATTCCAAGAGGAGGGGCCAGCAGATGGCATAATGGTTACATTGCTGGACTCCCACATAATCAGCCATGATTCAAGTCCCAGACACAGAAGCTTGAAACTCATGCCAGGCATGTGTGCATACATACCCAAAATCCCAAGAGAAGAAGGGCAGAGAAGGGATTGCAGCATGGTCATCCCCGCTGGGAGGTGATTTCTCACATTCTGTCTCTCTCTGACTCTCTGGCAAGCACACACACCCTATAGCAAGAAGGAAGGAAGGAAGGAAGGAAGGAAGGAAGGAAGGAAGGAAGGAAGGAAGGAAGGAAGGAAGGAAGGAAGGAAAGAGAGAGAGAGAGAGAGAGAGAGAGAAAGAAAGAAAGAAAGAAAGAAAGAAAGAAAGAAAGAAAGAAAGAAAGAAAGAGAGAAAAGAAAGAAAAAGAAAGAAAGAAAGAAAGAAAAGAAAGAAAGAAAGAAAGAAAGAAAGAAAGAAAGAAAGAAAGAAGAAAAAGAAAAAAATACATTCTCTCTCTAAAACAAAAAAAATCCCAAGAGGAGCAGGGATTGTGGCAATGCTATTTACCCCGGGGAGTGCTTTCCCACTCTCCCTCCCTCTCTGTTTCTCTCTGATAAGCACATGTGCCCTATAACAAAATTTTTAGAGCAAAGAATGATATTGGTATTATTATTATCATTATTTAAGAACTAAGAGCTATCCAGTTGGTTCATTCAAGGCAATCAATCATAACATTTAAATGCATGGTTTCCCCTTTTTACAATTTTCACTGAAATATACAAGAATTTCCACTGTGTATTCTTCCGCCTAGCTCAAGGCCTTGAATGGAAAAAAAAAAAAAGGCCTTGAAAGCAGGGAAAGAAAGAGCTGTTACTGTTTAAGGTCAGCCTTTCTTTTCTTTTTTTTAAGTGAAAATGCCATAAATTTTCTCTCGTTTGTGATTATCTTGAAGATAATGTAGTCTTTCCTGCTGCCGTCAGTGAGAGTGCCTGTTTGCTGTCTACCTTACAGAGAGCAAACTCAGAGCCGCCGCTTTATAAGAAAGACCTCCCTTTGGGACCAGCAGTTAGCATAATGGCTATGTCGCTGGACTCCCACGTAGTCGACCGCGGTTCACGTCCCGGACCCGGTGGCTTAAAACTCACACCGGGCGCGTGTGCGTGTGTGCCCAAGATCCCGAGAGGAGAATGGAGGAGAAGGGATTGCGGCGTGGCCATCTTACCTGGGGGGGTGATTTCTCACTTTCTGTCTCTCTGTCTCTGTCTGGCGAGCGCACACGCCCTATAGCGAAAACCTCTCCAAAATAAAAGAAAAAAAAAGAAAAAGAAAGACCTTCCTTTTAAAGGTAGAATAGAATACTTAGGAGTGAAGCAGCATGAATTGATGACAACTCAAGAATAACATAACACATTTCTCTTGAAATCAGACTTGAAGAAGGGAGTTACATTTCTACGGCTACCTGGCTGATTTTTTTTTTCTTATCCTATTCTAGAGGAAAGAAAAGAAAACCTGAAAAATCCTATTAGACTTAGGAAAGAATCTGCAATTAATTAACCTGACAGCTTACTTCAGTTTTGCAGTTTCCAACATGTATAATACTGTACTTGCGTGACTCTCTGAGGCCTTTAAATTTTCTGTCGTCCAGGATATTGCTAATAACCGTAGCCATGCATTCTTAGATAAATCATCTCACTTTGGAAATGATTTAGCCCAACACCTGTTGTACAAATGAAGTCACAGACCGAAAAAGTAAAACCATCTGTTCGAAATTGCAAAGTTATTGCCTAAATTCCTGTTCTTCATTTTATTTGGCTTTGCTACTTGGCTAACGTCAGAGAGCCAGCGAGAGGCTGAGGTGGGACTTGAACCCAAGTGCTGTTGCGTGCCTCTCTGCTAAACCACCCTACCTCTCGAATGGCACATGTATAGAATTGCTGGATGGAGAGGGAGAGCAGGTGGAGGAGGAAATAAATCTAAAAATAGACCAGTGATTATAATGTGATGAGACAAAGGCTCTGAGAGGTAGGGAACGTGGCATTATAAAAAAGTAGGAGCAGCCCACCCACACTGATGGAAAGGAAGCAGAGAGAACTCCTGAAGGGGCGTTTGATCTAGATCATGAATTAGCCACCCTGATAAGAGGGCCCGACACCCCCGGACATGTAGGAGATGACACTGCAGAGTCTAAGTCAATATATCCTGCTCTAGATCTGCAGGTAGTTTGCATGACCAGAATGTAGACGTCAGCCAGAAAAGGGTTAATGCACGTCACTCTCTTTATTAAACATTGCTTTGAATATTTTAGCAATTGCAATAACAAAATTGTTAAATGGTGTATGCATTAGAAAAACGTATCAAACCATGCCTATTAGGTGATAATTATTATTGTTATTATGCATAACTCCTAGAGTTTAATAAGTAATGTGGTACCGTGGGAAGTTAAAATACAAGTGTTCTGTAGTCAGTAGATTGTCTCTCCGCCAGCAAAATAAATGCAAAATGAAAAATGTTGAATCCATTACCAATAATAATAAAAAGAAATATGTAGAAATATATTTAATAAAAGAAAGGCATGAGACCTATAAGAAGAAAGTTAAATAGCAAACGAGAAGGTTTCTTGAACAGAAAGACTTAATACCACAAAAATGTAAATCTCTCAAAGTTAGTAAATAAATTTAAGACAGTTTCTATTTTAATTCTAGGAGGGCCAATGGTGAAAGAGAACTGGGTCACCTTCTCTGAAGCTTACATAAAAAATAAAGGGCTCAAAAATAGCCAACACAACAATGACAATTAACAGCAGGGGAGTTTTCAATATCAAATATCAGAATATGCCACAAAGACATTGTATTAAAATATGGTATTAAGATAGTAATAGACAAATAGATCATTAGACTAGAATGAAGAATCAAAAAAAAAAAATCTCATATGCCTTGAGATCTGTTTATGAGAATGTAATAAATGGCCAAGGTTTAATCCAGTTGGAAACGGAGGGACTAATTTAATAAATACTAGTGTAAAATGAGCTGTTCATCTTGGAGAAAATAACAATGTTCCTCTTCCATTCATACTTTATTTAAAAAGTAATTTCACGGGACCAGCAATTGGTGTAATGGCTATGTCGCTGGACTCCCATGTAGTCGACCACAGTTCGAGTCCTAGACCCGGTGACTTAAACTCATGCCGGGAGCACTTGTGTGTGTGCCCAAGATCCCAAGAGGAGAATGGAGGAGAAGGGATTGCTGTGTGGCCATCCCCCCTGGGAGGTGATTTTTCGCAGTCTCTCTGTCTCTCTCTGTCTTCCTGGCTAGTGCAAATTCCCTATAGCAAAAACCTCTCCTCCTCCCCCCCCAAAAAAAAAGTAATTTCACAAAGATCAGTGACCTAAATCAGTAGTCCTCAACCTTTCTGGCACCAGGGACTGATTTCATAACCGGCAGTTTTTCCAAGGACGGGTGTGTGTGCTGGGGGTAGGGAGGTTATGAGAGCATGCCACCTAGATCCCTCACATGTGCTGTTCACAGTAGGCTTCACACGCCTGTGAGAATCTAAAACTGCCACTGATCTGACAGGAGTGGGAGCTCAGGTAAAATGCGAGCAATGGGGAGCGGCTGTAAATACAGATGAAGCTTCACTTGCTAGCCTGCCGCTCACCTCTTATTGGGCAGCCCGGTTCCTAACAGGCCATGGACTAGTACCAGTTCAAGAAAGGGAGTTGGAGACCCGTAGCCTAAATGAAAGAAATGAAGCAGAAAAGTATCACCAGATAACCTAGGAGACTGGAGCAAAAAACGCTTTCTAACCAGAACTGAAAATTCAAAAGCTATGAAATGAAAGACACATATTTGATGAAAATTGTTTGTTCAGCAAAATTTTTATGCACAACCTAAATTGTCAGATGATAAGTCTAGAAAAAAACACAATTGAAAAATAAAAGGTTACCTTTTTTATGCATGTGTATTATAAAGAACTTTTACAAACTTCCAGTTGAGAGATAAATAATAGAAAAAAAGGAGGCAGGCAGAGAAGTAGATTAAAAGGATAAATGATGGGCCAGCAGGTGGCGTGGTGAAGGTGCTGGATCCCACATGGCTGGCTACATGGTTTGAGTCCCAGACCCAGTGGCTTGAAAAACTCTCTGGGCATGTGTGAGGAGAGTGGAGGAGATGGGATCGTGTCGTGGTCATCTCCCAGCAGATGATTTTCTCACTTGTTTCTCTCTTCCCCCCCTCTCTTTCTCCCTCCCTCCACCCCTCCTTCCTTCCCTCCCTTCCTCTCTCTCTCCCCAGTGAGTGTGTGTGCCCTATAGCAAAAACAAGCAAACAAAAATCTTTGTTTTAAAAAACAGTAATTACCATTTGAGAGCTATGAATATCATTTATTCCTTTAACTCCACTATTTTCTTAGTGACTTGGAAAACATTTTTCTAGTTCTTGGCAGACATGGAAAACAATGCCCTTTTTCGGGATGATATAGAATGTCAGAAACTCATTATGGAAGCCATGAAGTATCACTTGTTGCCAGAGAGACGACCCATGTTACAAAGTCCTCGGACGAAGCCTAGGAAGTCGACTGTTGGCACCTTATTCGCAGTTGGAGGAATGGATTCCACCAAAGGTATCGAGTAGTCCTTTCTTGGGGGGAAGTAAAAGGGGGGAGGGAAGATAGTTTTAATAACTGGTGTATGTGGCCCGAGAACTCTTGGGAGAAATGGCTGCTGTCAGATGGGGCAAAAGAAGTAGCAGGTAAGCCCGGGCAGCCTCTGGTGCCACAGAGTAAGGAAGTGCTCAAGGAAAGATGGAGACCAGTCAAAAGGCACAGAAAGCAGCTCGTAGGAGCTGGCACTATCCAAATCTGGGATAATTGGAGCATCAAAGTAAATGATTATGCCTATCACAACAAGAAGTAGCCATGAGTCCACACTGATCCAAATAAAGAAAAGAGAAGGCATGTCAGCCAGGTGGCATGGTATTGAGGCAGCTGGATCCCACACGACCATCTGAACAGTTCAAGTCCCAGACCTGGTGGCTAGAGAAACACACCAGGTGCATGTGTGTGTGAGTGCCCAAAATCCCGAGAGGGGACTGGAGAAGAAGGGACTCCACCCCGGGGGGGTGCTTTCTCTCTCTCTCTCTCTCTCTCTCTCTCTCTCTCTCTCTCTCTGTTCCTCTCCAGTGAACACATGTACCCTGTGGCAAATTTAAAATCAGAAACACACCACCGATAGAGTGGCAACTAATAAATGTAGAATGAATGATGAAAGTTTTTAAATTACCATCTGGCCGGGCCAGCAGTGTAGTAGTAACACTGGACTCCCGCATGGCCATCTGCAGTTCGTTGGCTTGAAACACACCAGGCGTGTGTGTGTGTGCGTGCCCGAGATCCCAGGAGGAGAATGGAGGAGAAGGGATTGTGGAGTGGCCATCCCCCTGGAGGGGGGGATTTCTTACTCTCTCTCTCACTGTCTCTGTCTTATATCTCTCTCCAGAGAGTGTATGCACCCTAAGGCAAAAACCTCAAAAAACAATTACCATTAGGCAACCATTATAAAATAATTGATTCGATCAAGAATCATTAATGGTGGCTGACATATCAAGGCCCCTCCCTGCCACGGGCTTATTAGTTACTAAGAGTAAAATAGCGTCCATGCAGTGGAGAAAGCTGGCCCATGGCACCTTGACCAGTGATCCAAGGTCACGTGGCCAGTAACTGATGACCGAGGGTCAGTGTGTACCTCCAAGAACTCGACAGCTCATCGACGGCTCTGTCCAGAGTGAGTAGTCCGAACTTGGATCAGAGAAACCAACCCGCCAGCCTACGATGCGAGAGACTCTGCAAAAGAGCTTGTCTGTCTGCAGTATTCAAAAACAGTCATGTCATGAAATTCAAAAAAGCTTCAGGAATGGTTCCAGATTACAGGAGACTAAAGAGACACGACAGCTCCTGTAATATACATCATCTTGAAATCTCTTTTGCTGTTTAGGACATAATTGAAACATAAAATCCAATAGAGCCTGCAGATGAGATAATAGCTTTGTATAAATTTCCATATTTTGATGACTGTATTTTGGTTCTATGAGAAAATTTCTTGTTTTAAGGAAAATAAACTATAAAGTATCTAGGGTGTAGGGACATCGTATTTAGGGTGTAGAGGAATCGGATCTGCAACTCACTCTTATGTATGCGTGCAGAAAACACATGCATATATGCTTTGAAAATCAAATGTAGTCTGGGACCAGCAGTTAGCATAATGGCTGTTGCTGGACTCCCATGTAGTCAACTGTGGTTCGAGTCCTGGACCCGGTGGCTTCAACTCACGCTGGGCGTGTGTGTGTGTGTGCCCAAGATCCCGAGAGGAGAATGGAGGAGAAGGGATTGCGGCATGGTCATCCCCCCCAGGGGGTGACTTCTCGCTTCTGTCTCTCTGTCTCTCTCTGTCTTTCTGGTAAGCGCATGCACCCTGTAGCAAAAACCTCTCCAAAAAATAAAGAAAGAAGAAAGAAAGAAAGGAAATCCAATGTAGTGAAATATAAATATTTGGGAGTCAGGGTCAGAAGTATCTAGGAGTCCTTTGGAGCAGTCCTGCAGCAGTTCTTCCTAGGAAAGCAGTGAATACCGTACGGAGAGCCCCCTGGGTGCAGGGCATATGCTAGATGCGCTCTGGGCGCTTCGTCTCAGGATGCATCGATCCACCCTCCTGAGGACGGATGGTCAGCCACCCCCCTCTGATCTCGTACTCCAACTCCATTGGCCTCCATTCATCTAATGCGCCAAATGTTGTAGCCGCCATCGGGCTATTGCATTCGCTCTTCCTTCTCCTGGAAATGCTCAGCCCCCTGATACAGAACTGCCTGACAGAAATCATGCTCGAACCCTCTGTCCAGCGTCACCCTACCTTGGGGCCTTCCATGACCATTCAGAGGCCTCGTGCCTCCTGCTTTCTGACCCTCCCCAGCACTTCCAGTCTGTTGTAGTACCTGATACGCTTTTTTAGGGTCTGCTTTTCCCCAGGTAAGCTCCAGAAAACCAAGGAGTTGGTTTTGCTCATGAACAGCCTCCAGAGCCTAGAACGGCGCCTCGCGTGGAGATGGCGTCAATAAGTATTCACCCACTGAAGGAAGGTTGTCTTTTGTTGTCTCTTGAATGATCTACATGACCGAAGCCCTCGATGCATTAATCACATTCAAGGGTTTCTCTCCAATAAGGCCCCTTTTTTGTTGTTTAAGCTTATTTCATTTTTTCATGAGAGAGAGTGAGACCCCACCACACATGACTCAGCCACTCACATAAAGAACTCCCACGTAGTCGACTGCGGTTCGCGTCCCGGACCCGGTGGCTTAAAACTCATGTCGGGCACGTGTGCGTGCTTGCCCAAGATCCCGAGAGGAGAATGGAGGAGAAGGGATTGCAGCGTGGCCATCCCCCCTGGGAGGTGATTTCTCACTTTCTGTCTCTGTCTCTCTCTGTCTGGCGAGCGCATGTGCCCTATAGTGAAAACCTCTCCCAAAAAAAAGAACTCCCTTGGAGCCATCCATGACCTCCATGTAGTTCAATCCAATACTTTTTTTTCTCTTTTTTTTTTAAAGACTTTTTGCTACAGGGAGCAGGCACTTGCCAGAGAGAAAAAGAGAAAGTAAGAAATCACCCCCACAGGGGAGATGGCCACGCCACAATCCCTTCCCCTCCATTCTCCTCTCAGGATTTTTTGGACACACATGCACATGCACCTGACATGACTTTCAAGCCCCTGGGTCCAGGGCTTGAACTGCAGTTGGCCATGTGGGAGTCCGGCATCTTAACCACTACTCCACCTACTGGCTCCAGTCCAATACTTTTTAGTCTTCACTTTCCTTGCCCTTCTCAGTAGCATTTGTTCCTGTTGGCAGACCCACCTGCTATGGACGTTCTCCTGTGGCTTCCATGGCACTGAAGTCCCTTCCTGCCCCCCGCTGGGTATTGCTTGCAGCTTCCTTTGATAGGGAATCCTTGCCCGTCCGTCCTTTTAATACTGGGACTTCGTGGGGGCCTTCATGAGCTCACAGATGGCAACAGGGGCCAGATCACGCAGGGGCCTTATGGGTGTTACAGAGCTATTGTCATCAGTGCTAATAAAGCGATGCTTTTGTGCATAGCGTTGCATAAAACAGCCAGTCGTGGTAGAATGTTATTCACGTAACTCGTATATGTCACCCTTAAGGAGCAACGAGCATCGAGAAGTACGACCTCCGTACAAATATGTGGACCCCGGTAGCGAACATGAACGGGCGGAGGCTGCAGTTTGGTGTCGCGGTGTTAGATGACAAACTGTACGTGGTGGGGGGCCGCGACGGGCTGAAGACGCTGAACACTGTCGAGTGCTACAACCCCAAGACGAAAACCTGGAGCGTGATGCCGCCCATGTCCACACACCGGCACGGCCTCGGTAAGCTGGGCCACGCAGGCGGGCTCGGGGTGCGGTGCGTGAGGCTTCCTGGGCCCTGTTGCGCTCTGACAGGCAGGGGACGATCAACGTGGCTGCTGAGTGGCCGAGCACTCCTTCACACGCACACTCACACACATGCATATACACGCACTCACACACACGTGCACGCATGCACACATGCACACACACATGCACACACACGCCCTTACCGTACCCCCAGCACAAGCCTCCTCAGGACCTCTGCACGTGCAGCACCCTCTCCCCCTCAGATAGCCCACGTCAGGTTTCCTAACTTCATTTCCACTCAAACATCACCTTATCATCTTCCCAACCCTTTCTTACCCTTCTACTCTGCTCCATTTTTTAAAATTAGTATTTCAAAGGTCGGCAAGTGGTATAGTGGTTAAAGGCACTGAATTCCCACCCGGCCGACTGTGGTTCAAGCCCCGGACCTGGTGGTTTGCTTTCTCACTTTCCTTTTCTCTCTCTCTGTCTGTCTCTGGTCAAATTTAAAAAATAATACTAACAAATGGAATTAAATAAATAATTCTTTTTTAAAAAACTAGCATTTCACGATAACTGAAACATATTTGTGCCTGTCCCCTGACTAAAATAGGTCTGTGAAGGCACAACCCCTGCCTCTGTGTTCCGTTGAGTGCCTGGCACTTAGTAGGAGCTCAGTAGATATCTGTGGGATTAAATTAACAAATGCTCTCTGCCCATGAGTCATACCAATAGGTTGTGGTATCAAATCTAACTACAGTTGGGGCCAATGGATGGAATGGTGGTTGAGGTGCTAGACTCCCACATGGCCAACCGCAGTTCAAGTCCTGGACCTGGCAGCTGGCCTTCTCACTGTCCCTCTCTTTCTCTGTCTCTCTCTGGTAGGCACACGTGCCTTTTAGAAAATTAATAAACGATAATAATAATTTTGATCATAAATAAAATTGAGTGGATAATTCTTTTTTTAAAAAAGACAACTATTTTTAAAAATAGGACCATAGTAAAATCTCATGAATTTAAAGTAATGGGGGAAAGGAATAAAAATGCTTTTTCAAATATATCTTAAATCCAGATTATTGAAAAAATGTCTTAAGTAGTGGTAATGTATGCATCTGAGGCAATTTTAAAATTTAAAATAACATTTCATAGTTGTTCCCCAAAAATAATGCCTCTTGGAGCCGTAGATGGAGTAATGGTTACATTGCTGGACTCCCATGTAGTCAACCTGGTTCGATCCCCAGACCCAGCAGCTTAAAACTCATGCCAGGTGTGTGTGCATGCCCAAAATCCCAAGAGGAGAATGGAGAAGGGATTGTGGCATGGCCATCCCCCCTTGGGGGTGATTTCTCATTTTCTATCTCTCTGGCAAGTGCATGTGCCCAATAGCAAAAATCTCTCAAAAAAAAAAAAAATAGTAATACCTCTAAAACTTTTGCTATAGGGCGCGTGCGCTCGCCAGAAAGACAGAGAGAGACAGAGAGACAGAAAGAGAGAAATCGCCCCCCAGGGGCGATGGCCGTGCCGCAATCCCTTCTCCTCCATTCTCCTCTCAGGATCTTGGGCATGGACACACACGCACCCGGCGTGAGTTTAAGTCACCAGGTCTGGGACTTGAACCACAGTCGACTACGTGTGAGTCCAGCAACATAGCCATTATGCTAACTGCTGGTCCCATGCCTCTAAAACTTTTAAGACCAGACTGCAGAGCTATTTCACACACACCTCCGCCACCACCAGACGCCTATATCAGAAATTTTTGTTTGGCTAAATTTGCATATTTAAAGTTTATTGTTCAGGTAAAATGTGTTTTCTCAAAGATTTAGCAACAGATCAGAAGTCATGCCTTCTTCCTGTCTCCTCACAGGCGTGGCTGTACTGGAAGGCCCCATGTATGCGGTCGGAGGGCATGATGGCTGGAGCTACCTGAACACGGTGGAGAGGTGGGACCCTCAGGCCCGCCAGTGGAATTTCGTTGCTACGATGTCCACCCCCAGGAGCACAGTAGGCGTGGCAGTACTGAGTGGAAAGTAAGGAAGTATTTAAAATTACATTTGAAATGCAGTAAAACAAAACTATTAACCCATATCAGTTCAAGTTAAAAATATACATGGAGAAGGCCAGCTGATAGCCAGGGGTTAAAATGGCCTGACCCCACATGGCCAGCTGCAGTTCGAGTCCCAGACCCAGTGGCTTCAAAAACACGTGCCAAGTGTGTGTGCATCCATGCCCTAAATCTTGAAAGGAGGGAGAGATTAAAGAGGAGGGGTCATGGTGAGACCATTCCCATGGGGGGGTGCTTTCTAATATATATACGCAGAGAAATACTTTAGGAGTGATTAAAAGACTTTTTTAAAAATAATCTCTCTTTTTTTATAGTAGTTCTAAATATAAATGAAAACTTAAGGTAGGTTTTCATTCTAATATGTAGATACTATACACTTCTGTCTGTCATTTTCAAAATAGAAATATCACATACCTATTCAATATTAATCATCTGTACAGTAAAAATCTGTAGTTTATAGACCTTTGAAAGGTCATATTCTTGGGCCAGCAGATGGCACGGTGGTTAACGCACTGGACTCCCACAAGTCTGACCATGGTTTGAGCTCCTGACCTAATGGCTTGAAAATCGTGCCAGGCACATGTGGGTGCATGCCCAAAATCCCAGGAGGAGAATGGAGAAGAAGGGATTTCAGCATGGCCACCACCTCAGGGGTGATTTCTCACTTTCTCTCTATCTCTGTCTCACTCTATCTCTCTGGCAAGCGCACATACCCTATGGCCCCCCCAAAAAATAAATAAATAAGTACACAGTCTTTTAAAAGTAGTATAGTGTTGGGCCAGCAGGTGGTGTGGTAGTTAAGGGCACTGGACTCCCACATAGCCGACCGTGGTTCGAGTCCTGGACCTGGCAGCTTGCTTTCTCTATTCCCTCTCTCTTTCTCTCTCACTCTGTCCCTCTCTGGTCAAATTTAAATTAATAAATAAATAAAGTTAAATAAAATAATTCTTTACCAAAAAAGGTCGTATAGTGTCAGGGGCAGCAGATGACATAGTGGTTATGTCACTGGACTCCCACATGACCTGGTGGCTCCAAAATCACCTCGAGCACGTATGCATGCATGCCCACAATCCCAGGAGGAGAATGGAGGAGAAAGGATTGTGGCATGGCCATCCCCCTTGGGAGGTGATTTCTCGCTTTCCCTCTCACTGTCTCTCTCTCTCTCCCTCTCTCTCTCTCCCTAGTGAGTGCACTTGCCCTAAGGCAATTTCTCTCAGGGTTGCCTTAAAATTTTCTTCCATCTTTTCTGCTGGCTTATTTTTACTTTTACTCCCCTTTCTTATCTTGTTACACTGGGGATAGCCGGAGGGGGATTAGAAAGACCTCTCTTGCCTCTTGTCTGCTGTAAATAGCTTTGAATGGAGCTGTCACCAAAAGTTCCTGTTACTAGAAAACCGCACACATACCCTTTCAGTCCTTTCTTCTGTGAAACAAGCCCTCGGTGGTGGTAAATAAAAGGTGCTTGTTGCATACCATTTGCTTACTTAAAATACTTTGTGGTCGTCCAGAATCAGAAAGAAGTAAGGATTGAAATAGTCTTAAAATGATGATAGAGGGACCAGCAGTTAGTGTAATGGCTATGTCTCTGGACTCCCATATAGTCAACTGTAGTTCAAGTCCTGGGTCCGGTGACCTAAACTCACGCCAGGCACGTGTGTGTGCATGCCCAAGATCCCGAGAGGAGAATGGAGGAGAAGGGATTGCAGCATGGCTGTCCCCTCTGGGAGGTGATTTCTCACTTTCTGTCTCTCTGTCTCTCTCTGTCTTTCTGGAGAGCGCACATACCCTATAGCAAAAAGCCTCTCCGAAAAAAAGAAAAGTACAGGAAAATGTTTTGCTTAATAAAAAATATTGTGTCTAAATCATTAAAAATAGTTTACATATATTTTTAATTCAGAGTAAAAAACTATTTCACATATGGACTGCTAATGCATTAAAATCGAACAGCATTTAGGTCATTCACATACCATATTTTAGATTAACATATTCTCTTCTACAATAATTTCTATATACTCATTTACATGCCATTGTCTCAAGCTACTCTTTCATTCTCCTATTGCTATATTACAAGAGCATCTCAGCTGCTCATCAATGTAACCATGTGTCCTGATTCTGCTTCTTACTGGGTGACCCCGTGCAAGCCCCTTACTCTCTGTGAGCCCCTGTTTCTTCACCTGTGAAACAGAGGTACGGATGGTGTCTCCCAGCGTCACGGGGGAGATTAAGTTAATAGATGTAAAGCACCTCACCTGTGGCAGGTGCTCAGAAAGGTTAGTTTCTGTGCTTTATAGTCAAGCGCTGTCTTAGCTACTTAAAAACAAGACATGGTCCGTGTCTGTGCCATATCTTCACCTATTCTAAGACACACACTTTGACCCCTGTGAACTGACAGTGCCTTTTGGGCCAGCCAGTGGCACAGTGATTAAGGAGACTGATCCCACATAGCCAATGACATGGTTCAAGTCCCAGACCTGGCTGCTTGAAAAATCACACCAGGCACGGGACCAGCAGTTAGCGTAATGGCTATGTCGCTGGGCTCCCATGTAGTCGATCACGGTTCGCATCCTGGACTTGGTGGCTTAAAACTCACGCCGGGCTTGTGTGAGTGCGTGCCCAAGATCCTGAGAGGAGAACGGAGGAGAAGGGATTGCAGCGTGGCCATCCCCCAAGGGGTGATTTCTCGCTTTCTATCTCTCTGTCTCTGTCTGCCTGTCTGGCGAGCGCATGCGTCCTATAGCAAAAACTTCTCAAAAAAAAAAAAAAAATCACACCAGGCACATGTGTATGCATGCTCCAGATCCCAAGAGAAGAATGGAGGAAAAGGGATTGTGGCAAGAGCACATGCTTCCAATGGCTAAACTAAAATTTAAAAAAAAAAAAAGAAAAAAAGTACGTGCATCTTATAATCAGCATGACGAGTCAGACAGGTGGCAGCTGTGAAGTAGCTGTTCCTGCCGTTGTGTGTCATTTTGCTCTTTGTCATGCGCACACATATGGTGTATGCAGGTGTCATGTAACTGTTGGCATATTTCTTTCCTAATGGCACATACAGTGCCAAGGTGCCTCGTACTCAATGCACCTTAAACTCCATGGAATCCTGCAAGAATAGCCTCTGTCTTCAAAACAGTCACCACACTGTTCCCTCTGTACCGTTTCATCGTTCCTTTCACAGACTTTACGCAGTTGGTGGTCGCGACGGAAGTTCCTGCCTCAAGTCCGTAGAGTGTTTTGACCCTCACACGAACAAGTGGACGCCGTGCGCACAGATGTCCAAGAGGAGAGGCGGCGTGGGGGTCACGACCTGGAACGGGCTGCTCTATGCCATCGGAGGCCATGACGCCCCCGCTTCCAACCTGACTTCCCGGCTCTCGGACTGCGTGGAGAGGTAACGTGCTGTGAAGGGAAACGGGGTCGGGGGGCCAGAGGGGGACAAAGACATAGATCTCTGATGCTTTCAGACAGATGAGCAACTGCTTACCGAGCACCCACCTCTGCGAGGCGGTCCCTTGGGTGCTCTGGAGGCCTGGGTTGTCCGCTCTGGGCGTCTCGCCCTCTGTCCACCAGTGGCCCAGGCAGATTCTTCTCTCTCCACGCTGCTGCCATTGCCTTAAACTTTGCCTGAGAAACTTTGCATTGATTGATTGACTGATGGATGGAATCACATGACACGTGATTACGTTGTGCGCGTTTGCTGAACACCACACCGAGTAAGGAAAGAAAAGGAGCTTGATGAATTTCAGAGAGAATGAATAGAGGCTGGAGGTTAAATGAGAAGTGTAAAGGACAGGGACGTTGATGACACATTTTAGTATGAAAGGGAATCCTGCAAAGTAACAGACTAGAACAAAAGGCTGAGAATAAGACTTACAAGCCTAGTAAACACATCGTCCTCACTGGGTTCATGAAACTAAAGTATGGGGCCAGGCAAAGAGTCCACGAGCAGAACACTTGGCCCCTAGACCAGGTTCCTGTCTGCGATGTGAAATCTATTCCAAGCAATGGGGAGAACTGAATGGGTTTGGGAGGTGGCCTCAATAGGAGCCTGTGTGAACACTCCCAAACAGAAAGGAAAATGGGCCATACTGGAAACCAAGAGGCGGCCATGATGGCTGGAGGACAGGGTGATGGAGTGAGCGATGGGAAGGGAGGAATGGAGTGGTGTACGGGCGGATCATGGAGTCTAAGGCTTTATTAAGGATTTGAGATTCTAGAGAAGTAGGAAGTTAATAAATGTGTGTGTGTGTGTGTGTGTGTGTGTCTAGACTGCTTCTGAGATTAGTGTGACCGGCTCAATAAGTTGTAAATGACTAGAAGGATCAAAAAAAAATAAAGCAAAGTTTGTGGATAATGAGCACTTTCTGAGAAATCACAAATAAGATGCGGTGGTTGTTTTTTCATGAAGGAGTAATTACATCCGGGCATTTCACCCATATTGGGGAGGAAGCAATTCAGACTACGCCTGTTCTGTGTAATATCCTAGGTCAGGCATATGGAAGGCATTGTACTCTTGGCCTCGTGAATGGTGGGCTCACTGTCCTGCTGCACCCGTGAAGGGCTGCTCTTTGGTCTAAGAGGTATTAGAGAGAACGTGGGTCACCCTAGCATGGCAGCTCTGCTCTTAGACAACTGTGGGCAGCTCTACTCAGGACACCTCGTGCAAGGAACACGAGGGTCCACGAACGGACAGCTGGGATGATTGAGGCCGTGTGTCATCTTACACAGCGCTTCACGTGCCGATTTCCCTAGATTTTAAGTAGTCCAATCATTAAAGCAGTTTTCAGTCTTTACTTTAGCTGCTTTTTTAAAAGTTTTTCTTGGGACCCAGCAGTTAGCGTAATGGCTATGTCTCTGGACTCCCACGTAGTCGACCGTGGTTCACGCCCCGGACCCGGTGGTTTAGAACTCACGCCAGACGCATGTGCGTACGTCCCCAAGATCCCGAGAGAAGAATGGAGGAGAAGGGAATGTGGCGTGGCCATCCCCCCTGGGGGGTGATTTCTCACTTTCTGTCTCTCTGTCTTTTTGGCGAGCGCACGCGCCCTATAGCAAAAAACCTCTCCAAAAAAAGAATTAAACTTTTTTCATGGAAAACATGTTGAGAATTGTATCCACTGAAGTTCTACACTTTTGTCTCAGATACGACCCCAAAACAGACATGTGGACCGCGGTGGCGTCCATGAGCATCAGCCGGGACGCGGTGGGCGTCTGTTTACTGGGCGATAAGCTGTATGCAGTGGGCGGGTATGACGGACAGACTTACCTTAACACGGTGGAGGCTTACGACCCCCAGACGAACGAGTGGACCCAGGTATGGCGTTTCGCTTTTCATTATCACACTTGCTCTTTTGTCAAAACGATTCCGTTGGTAAAACATTCTCTCTCCATTTTCTGTCCAGTGTTAAAATATATAGCATAAATTAGGATAAAGCCATCTCTTGATCCACTATAGAAACAAAAACGAGGGAACCAGCAGTTAGCGTAATGGCTATGTCGCTAGACTCCCATGTAGTCGACCGCGGTTCACGTCCCGGACCCGGTGGCTTAAAACTCACACCGGGCGCGTGTGCGTGTGTGCCCAAGATCCTGAGAGGAGGATGGAGGAGAAGGGATTGCGGCGTGACCATCCCCCCTGAGGAGTGATTTCTCGCTTTCTGTCTCTATGTCTCTCTCTGTCTGGCGAGCGCACGGTGCCCTATAGCGAAAACCTCTCAAAAAAAAAAACAAACAAACAAACAAAAGCGATAGTTTAATTTTATAATACAATTAAAATCCAAAATCACCTTTGGAGTATAAGTTAATACTCAAGATAAATGATTGATCTGCCACCATTTTTCTAGCACTGAGACAGCTGACAGGGCCACAGGAGTTCTCTAATGAATGGAGAGAGACTGTGGAAAATAAGGAAGGATATTCATCAGAAAAACTGGAACCTACCCAATAGGAACAAAGTGGTTTTTGTTTTGTTTTTGTTTTTAAGATTTGCCAGAGGGCTAATGCACTTGCCAGAGAAAGAGAAGGGGAGGGGGGTGGGGAGTGAGAAAATACCCCAATGGGCATGGTCACTCTGCAATCCCTTCTCATCCACTTACCCCTCCTTTTAGGATTTTGGGCACGCATGCACATGTACCTGGTGTGTTTTTTCTTACCATCAGGTCTACGACTTAAACCATGCCATGGGTCATGTGCATCCAGCCACCTTAACCACCAGCCTTTGGACTAGCCCACAAGAATTTTTAAATACTTAAGCCACTGTTGGGGAACAGACTAAATTTCTAATTCTAACCTAATAAAGATGACAATCTTAGATTAATAAATAAGAATCTTGAACTGGCCAACCTGTTAACAGAGAGAATTCCAACCATGTGTATTTCTGGGAGGGCCTAGCCCTTATAAGAAAGCTCTGTGCAATCTTTGCTTCCAGTATCTCCAAGAATGAAATCGGGAATTTTGTTCTTTTAATACCCAATTCAGCATCTGCCACATCAAAGACACACAGTAAACGTTTAACTGGGCCAGGGTTTTCTTACATACAAGCAGCAGTGGTCATTGTTGCCAAGAAAACAAAACTGGGACTTCCTGCTGTCATAGAGCGTCTTAGGTAGGAAAGCTCTCTGTGTGCAAGGGGAGAACTCGCAATCAAGGCTATCAGGCGTGTGATATCCTGTCTCCTGACATGGGCAGTCAGTGATGTGGGAAATCGATGAGAAGAAAGGAGGTGGTTGTTGGGAAGACTTTCACGAGAAGGAAGTGGGATGTAAGCTAAGCCTTAGTAAATTGATCTGCATCAAAAAGGTTGGGAAGGAAAGGAAAGCTGGGTGAGAAAACATGAATGAAATGTCACGGAAACAGAAATGTACAAGACATTGAGGGAATATGGCTGGCTAAAAAGATCCATGCTTGAGAAGAGTAGGACTTCTTACTGGAGAGGAAGATCGGGTCAGAGTGGCACTCTGTGAAGGCCGAGCCAAAGAGTCTGATCATGAGAGCCAGCAAACACTTCTACCCAAGACAGTGATGCGGCTGGGGACAGGGTAAGTTGGAGCTGGGGAAAGTGCACAGAAGGAAAGACTTGTAGAAGATTCCTCAATGGCAAGGTTTGACAGGGTCACCCTAGATGGGGACAGTAGCACTGCCAAGACCTGCCCTTCTTCCTTTGTATACTCACACTTATTAGGTTGGACTGGGAGATGCAGGTTTCAAGAGAACACCAAAGGAACGCTCAGAGAGGTCTTTAGAAGACAATGCCATAGAGCATTTGAAGGGAGGAGAGGAGGTTTAACAGTATTAGGGGGGAGGCCTTCAACAAGGTTGGCAAAGAGGTGGAATTAAAGTATGAGTGTATTTGTGATACAAAAAGAAATTAGAAATCCATGATGGTTTTTTTGTAATATGCATTTTTCATGATCTCTTTGAAGACCCCTCATATAGAGAAGAATAAAGATGATTGGTTATTCATGAAATTGTAGGGCGCTCTGAGAATATGATAGAAGCAGAAGCCCCCATGTAGTTTAAAAAGCAAAGAGAACAATAACATAATAGGGAGCTAGAGGGACTTGTAGTTTTTTGAGAAGAGAACAATAACATAATAGGGAGCTAGAGGTACTTGTAGTTTTTTGGGTTTTCTTTTCTTTTTCTTTTTTTTTGTTTTTTTAGTTCCTGCTATAGGGCGCATGTGCTCGCAGGAGGACAGAAAGCGAAAAATCACCCCTCAGGGGAATGGCCACACTGCAAATCCCTTCTCCATTCTCCTCTTGGGATTTGGGGCACACACATACATGTGCCCAGTATGAGTTTCACCGCCAGGTCCGGCACTCAAACCATGGTTGACCACGTGAGAGTCCAGCAATGTAACCATTGCACCGTCTGCTGGTCCTGGGGCATGCAGCTTTAAAACAATGACAAAAAGTTCACATTCAATGAGCACAGTTGATGTGCCAGGCTCTGTACTAGAAACTTTACATTGAAGAATTTCTTAAATCTTGGGGCCAGCAGGTGACGTGGTGGTTGGGGTGTTGGACTCCCACATGGCCAACCACGGTTCAAGTCCTAGACCTGGAGACTTGTTTTCTCATGCTTCCTCTCTCCCTCTCTGTCTCTCTCTGGTCAAACTGAAGAATAATAAATATATTGAATGAATAATAATAATTTTTTTAAAAAAAGAATTTATTAAATCTTTCCAACATCACTCTAAGCTCCATTATTTCCCCCATTGAACAAGATGAGGAATCTGACACAGAGAAGTTAAATAGCTAACTCAAAATCACATAGCAACTAGTGGTGAAGTTAAAACTGGAGCCAAGGGGGCTGGTAGGTGGCATGGAGGTTAAGGTGCTGGATCCCACATAGCTTACTGTGTAGTTTTGAGTTCTGGACTGGGTGGCTTGAAAATCACACCAGGTACATGTGCATGTGTGCCCAAAATCCCAAGAGGAGACAGGAGGAGAAGGGATTGCGGTGTGGCCCTGCCACCTGAGAAGTGATGTCTCTCTCGCTCGCTCTCTCTCGAGTTCACATGCCCTGTAGCAAAAAATAATAATAAAATAAAATGAAAATTGAGCCAAGAATTTTTCTCTCATAATGGAGATGACAGTGGGAGGGAGGGTGGGAGTCCAGCTTGTAGAAAGAAAAAGCAAAACTGAAGGGCAGCTTCCTGGAAGCAGGGTGGGAAACAGAATTGAGAGCAAAGACTGGTGATCTTCAGATCTTATTGTCTAAGACTTGACCCACCATGGTAGCCACAGCTGGGGATGACCACCAAAGAGATCAGAGAGACAAGAGAATCTCTTCTTTGCATGTTTGATTTAAGCCCTTAGTCCAGTTACAAGAAACTCTATTGGCCAGTATTTGAGATTTGTTGTTATAGCAATAGATAATTTTTTTAAAATATTTTTCCTATAGGGTATGCACGCTCGCTTTAGAGACAGCGAGAAAGCAAGAAATCACCCCCAAGGGGGAGATGGCCATGCAGCAATCCCTTCTCCTCCACTCTCCTCTTGGGATGTTGGACATGATGCACACGTGCCCAGTGTGAGGTTTAAGCCACTGGGTCCAAGACTTGAACCATGGTTGGCTACATGGGAGTTCAGCAATGTAATCATTACGCCATCTGCTGGTCCCAGCAGTAGATACTGTATGTTGAGTCACTCTATCACAGTTACTAATCTGTGACTACATAGCTATTTTGTTTGCGTGCCACCTGTATTGCTACTTTAAAGCACTTCAAATGGTGCCAGCAGATAGCCTGGTGATTAAGGCACTCAATTCCCACATGGCTGACCACAGTTCAGGTCCCAGACATGGCAGCTTGAAAAATCATACCGAGTGCATGTACATGTGTGCCCCAAATCCCAGTAAGAGAAAAGATTGTGGTGTGGCCATTTCCCTGGGGGGAGGGGTGATTTCTCACTTTCCCTGTCTGTGTCTCTCTCAGGTGAGTGTATATGCCCTATGGCAAAAATCTAAAAAATAAATAAATAAAGCACCGAAAATGTGGATTTATAACCATCGTTTCTGACAAATGCAGGTCTTCCTTTCACTGTTCTGACAAATGGACAGAGGACATTTATAGAGAGACTTGAAATGAGATGACAGGGTTTTACACCACCACCACCCACTCCACCATTAGCCTTGACCCACAGCTGGAGGTGACTGCTGTGAGTTTAATAAATTCTCCGAGCTGAACTTTCTAGCCGTTGTCATGACAATGTCAGCTCTTCACAGTGGAGAGACTTAGTGTCCTGGATGTCTTGACAAAAGCTGCTAATTACAAACTGACATTTTGATTTAGATGATACAGAAGTTACTTCTGCAAAACCATAAATAGATACGGTTTTAAAAATAGGTGATTCGAGTCTTCAAGGAGATATAACAACAAATTCAGGTGGAGAACAACTAAGAAATCTCTTAAAATCAAAATCTGATCTGTCTTAAAGTACACTTATTGATCAGAAAATCACTTTTGCATTATGGATTTGATTTTTTTAAAAATTGTATTACATATATATCTTAACATATATTTGGGGGCCATGAGGTGGCATGGTGGTTAAAGCATTGGATTCCCATATGGCGAGCCACAGTTTGAGTCCCAGACCCTATGGCTTGAAAATCACCATAGGCACGTGTATGTGTGCCCAAAATCCCAAGAGGAGGATGAAGGAGAAGGAATTGCAGCATGGCCATCCCCCATGAAGGGTGATCTCTCACTTTCCCTCCCTCTGTCTCTCTGATGAGCACACATGCCTTGTGGAAAAAAAAAAAAAACTTCAAAAATGCATCGTTTCTTACTGTGTTTAGAGTAGTGCTTCAGAA